GTATTCAGCAAATAATGATTAACCTACTCAACCCTATAGTCTGACTCTATAATAAGACCTCAACAAAACTCACTCCCTTCATTTCCTATAGCACAGAACAATGACTGCATTGTCGAGAAAACCATTTAAATCATCACTGCCTCTGATTCATGGGGCTCAGCACTGAGCACTAACATATCAGTAAAATAGTATTTGTATATAAATGTTTAAAGATATTTGGGAATACTTTATCCACAAAGGGATCATTTTGCATGCCTCTATGCTGAATGATGGATCAAAACACAACCTTGTTATATTGTTCTTAAAAATGCACTAATGAGCTCAAACAACCAAAGCCTTTGGTTCTTTATTAATAAATGAATTACTGAAAAGAAGCAGAATATAATATAATAGTACAATTGCATGTGGAACATTTTAGAAATGTTATCAAGGTGGTCTTTGTGTTCATCAGGGTCATCAAACAAGGCTTACGTACAGAATAACCGAGGTAAATGACACAGTCACAATTGATGTATCACTTTTTTTAAATAAAAGACATGTTTGACGGAACGGTTTCATATTTCATGTAATATCCTGCTGAGGACAAACGTTGGTCTCAGTTCTTTAACATATTCATCATACACAAGAAAATGAATATGGGTTGGTATACTGTAACTGCTTATTTATTTGTTTTATCCTCAAATCCAATCCCAAATGTCTTCAATTATCAAATCATCTTTAATAAAGCAGATAACAAGCCTATCCTTTGCCCACTAAACTCCACTGTGTTCCTTCCATCTCAGCTTGATAGTGTAGAACAGTCTGGTTCTTCATGCAAGCATTTTTGCTTCATCAGTGAAAATTAGAGTTTGATTAAAAAAATTAGGATAACCCTCATTTAAAAAAGCTGTCTAAATCAACAAGGCCCAAAGAGTGTGTGCTACCCACATCAATAGACATGGAAGGAGGACATTAATCTAGGTTTGCCTTATATAACTCTAGCAGTGTTTATGGATGTTATTGTGCTCCTGTAATATGTCCTCATATTCTCAGGTATATAGACCCATACACAAATAAATGATTCTAACCCTAAGTGGATGAGTGCCCATGGGAAATATTAAGTTTATTATATCCAACATCAATGTTAATAGCTGGCAAGAGCCAACAAAGACCTCATGCTTTCTCCCAACATAGTTGCCTCACATGGCACAAAAGAAAAGCATAAATGCATGGTCAGAATGTTAATGGATGCTTTGTGTATATACTTTTAACTCAATTTAGTTTATTTTCCCATTTTTGAAACTTTCAAAGACCTCACCTTAGACTTTGAGAAACATATGTTGTCCCTTGTTTCTGATTTGATACATTTCAAACGATAAATCAATTAAAAGTTCAAGTTAAACAGCCTTAATGACATCATGTACCAATGGTACTTCACAAACGTTCAAATATGTGCAGCATATATCAGAGTATATCTCTAAAATGTAAAAATGACATTGGCCACTTTTTATTGATCGCATTGCTAGACATTTTAAACATGGAGGTACATTGATAAGAAATACTGAAAGACCTACAGTGAAAATAAATCTACTCGACACAAATAATTCAGATAAGAGAACAACACAATTATATTGGATAATAAAAAAACACATGGCAACAGAACGCAGCACACGTAAGTAAGCTATGGTAACAGCAAATTGCATGACATGGCATGTTAGAGAGGTTAAATTGATTTGAAAACCCCTGATGCAGAAAATTAAATCATGGGATACATGTGAGAGCCAGTGTGTGTGCTTGTGAGAATAGTTATGGATGGATGTGTTTGTTTACTAATTTAATCTTCTATTAAATTAATTTCCCTATTCCCTTTATCAAGAACTCTTTCAATTGTTTCTGCATGTGTTATAACATGCATTACAAGCCCTTTAGGGTCTCACATACACTTTGTGGAAACCCTCTCAGTATAGAAATATGCACTTTACTTGTATTTTATTTAGTCCATGCTTTTGTTTCACCTCGGTTGGTCTACTGCAATTCACTTTTCTCCGGGCTACCAAAATCAACAACCGCCAAACTACAACTGGTTCAAAACACAGCTGCCAGAATATTAACCAGAAAATGTGATCATATCACCCCTGTTCTCATTTCATTGGCTCCTGATTCACATAATATCTGACTTCAAGATTTTACTATTAACCTTTAAAATCTTACATGGACTAGCACCTCCATATCTATCATCCTTAATTACCCTGCGAATATCTACCAGGCTCCCACAATCACATAATGCCAGTCTCTTTCCATCCCCAGAACTCACAAATCATCCACGGGTGGCAGAGCCTTTTCACATTCCAAGCACCTCTCCTTTGGAATCGTCTTCCATTTCAGATCTGAGAAGCTATTTCCGTCACCTAATGTCCGCTTCTTTGGTGCGCACCAGACGACTGTTTGTTACATTGTATCATTTTTCAGAAGGTTCGGTTTGCTTTCACACGGGCAAAACACGGGCGGTGATGGTGTAGTCCATAGGGACTTGGCTTGGCAACTGGAAGGTCACCAGTTCAAGTCCCGGAAAGACCAAGTTCTACCGAGGTGTCCCTGGCTCTCACATGTACCCCATGGCACCGTTCCCTACACTGCACCGTACATAATGGTAGCCCACTGCTCCTAACACTAGGATGGGTCAAATGCAGAGAAACAGTTTCGTTACATAGTACCTGTACTACGTATTACGTAATGACAATAAATTGAATCTTCAATCTTCTTCTTCAAAAACTCAAACGGACTATAAACTTTAAACACAAGTCGTGTGCACGGAAATGCTGTTCAACAATTGGTCAGACATTGAGGGGGTAAAAACACAAATCCCGGCCATTTCTACCGTAGCCTCCACCATGGAGCATCTGCAGGTTATTTTCATACTGCTGTTAATCTGGACAGCATATCAACCGACTCTAGCAACGGCGCATATGATTATACAATACAAAACATTATAACCGATATGAGAGACGTTCTGCAGTAAGGTATGGGTCAGTTCAGTCTCAAAAATAAATAAAGGCACACAAAAGTAATTCCGGATTTATATATAAATGTCTCCGTCCACACACATATTTTTCAATGCACACACACACAAACTTATCATTTTATAAATGTAAAAAAGTTTCACAAATATATTTCTCATCCACACACAAATAGTTACATCAAAAACACATTTGAGTGTTGTTACATTTATATAAAAAACGCTTTCTGTGTGTGAATCTCTCTGCATTTGTGTGTGAATCTCTCTGCATTTGTGTGTGGATTTTTGAGACTCCCCTGACGCAGCTAGATTCACACCACACTTTTAAGTGGCGAGTGTCTTCGGCCAATCAGATGTAGGGTGTGCCTAATGCGTTTCCAACGTAGTGTAAGATCTACGCGATTTGCGGAGTCTGGGGGTGTGAAAGTTCAGAGTTCATCTCCAACAACATGGCTTCTGGAAGTGGCGCTCCCGAGATATATATATATATATATATATATATATAGATAATAGATCGATATATATATATATATATATATATATATATATATATATCTCAACAGTTTTTACACCTGCAGCTTTTTTTCTTTAATAAAAGAGTTTTGGTAGAATTATTTTTAGCTATTATCATTGTTACACTTTTACACTTGCCACTCCCTTGAACACAAGCAGTACATTCAATGATGGTTCTTTATTATTCATATAGTAAATCAAACTCAATTCAGTTGATAAAAAAAACTGTATTTGACAATTAAATATTTAAAGTAGCCTTTGGTAAAGAAATTATTTTGTTCCCCAGATTGAAACAACACCGCTTTCCTTTTCACGATGAGGTTAAAAAAGGTTGATAGCTAATTATTATATTTTAAAGGGACACTGACCAATTATTGTATTCTATACTGAAAGGGGATTTTTGGAGAATTATTACATTAGAAATGTATAAATCATAACCATGTACTCCTGATGCAGCACCTGCCATTTCCTTAACAGTACACATGATATTATCCTGTCTTCTCACATGACAGCTTGCTAATTACAACCTTTTGTTTATCAACCTACAAATCTGAGGGACTCGTTTAGCGTCTCCTATTACCGCCAACACCTCACTGAAAAGTGAACTCTTACATTTCTCTTTTACAATTCCAATCCAGCAACTGCAATTTGAGTTAAACAATTTTAATTTTAAGTTGCAAGTACAATTAAGGACAATAAATGTTGATCCTCATTATCTGGCTTCAATGAGGTTCTCAACGTATTGGACAGTCTCGAGATAAATGTCAACTCCAAAACAATCCAATTCTTGTAGTGGATCGATTGTGTCCTGCAGCAGCATCATTTCAGGATCTGAGAGAGGACTTTCCAGTGTAGGGACATTGACCCCAGGATGATGCTGATTTGAAAATCCACTCTCTTCCCACTGGATCTCTGGTATGAGAATACCCTGACAAAGACAAATTGTGTGTATATATATATATATATATATATATGAATAACCTTTCATATGCATTAATACATTAAACAAGCACCGTCATTATCACAAATTAATACAAAATAAGATAAAGAAAAGGTTATGCAATTTTCTATAATTACAAGTAATGATTGTGGAATATGTGAAGGTTATTATGGAAAAGACTTGACTTTACACATGTGGTGAAAAAGAACCCTAGTCTTGATTGCACCAAGCAAAGGCTTTTTGAATGCAAGGGTAGTGTGATTATAGTTATGTGTAGAGAATAAGAACCTAAATGTAAGGATGTTTGTTTTTTTATTGATTGAGGATCAACAAGAGATTGTGATAAGATTTTTTAACACATTTGGAATTAACCTCAGGATCTGCCACCGGATGCAGGGCTTGGCCCACCTGCCACAACTGGTTTGGAGTCATGTTTTGCTCTGTCCTGATTGGATGGTTGGCCCATGCCTCAGTGAAGACATCAAGGTTAGCCTGGATGCGTGGCAGGAAAACATATGTGGCAGCAGAATATGTGCAGGATGCTGCTGATGTGAAGCAGGTGTTGTTCCTCAAGAGAGTGCAAGGTGTTGTAAAACACACCCGTAACACTTGAACACATCACGCCAGAGACGTTCAATTCTGTATTTGAAAAAAAGAATGGTCATAAATTGTAGTTACAGATGATTTGAACAAACTGTTCAATTTTCAAAGTTGAAATGTAATATTGTTATAATTTGGCAATAATCCATTGAATGACACAAGAGTCAGTGCACCATCATAAAGTACATTTTTGCTTGAAAATGTTCATGATCTGGGCCTTTAAATTCCTTTTAAAATTAGAATTTTCTTCTGAAAGTTTGTTAAAGGGGATGTTAAGAATGAATAGTCTCAAAAGCTTCCAAAATTAGGTTTGACTCACCGTTAGTTGTGTACGCTTTTCCCTGCAATAAAGCTGTTAATGTCAGTTCCACGAACTGAGAACATTAATTCTGCTACTCTAACATTTTCCCCTCCATGATCTCCTCTCACTCTGAAAAACAAATCAATTATATGCTTCAGGAAAAAAACACAATTAAAATATATGTAGTATATAAAATATATGTAGTATATCAAATATATGACACTACAGTATACTCCCAATAATGTAGTGCCATAAAAATTGAGGAGAGGCCCACAGTTTTAAACCCCTACTGTACACAATTGTGTTGTCATCTTTAACAATTATAGTTGTGTCAGCAAAGCTAATACATGTTTCCGAGCGCACTTTAGAGGCATGGAAAGGTATGTGATGGCTATTGTTTTATCTTGTCGGTTCAAACATATGTTCAAAATATGCCTCTTTTAACTAAGAAACAATGTGCAGCTATTTGAGGGGAGCATCTACATACTATGGATAGGTCCACAATCACAGTAAAAATTACATTTGGAATGATATGAATACCTCAGTGGATACCCATGCTCGTTCACAGCTTCATTGAAGAAGACCAAGTGGGTGTCAGACCGGTTGTTGTCTGCTACCTTCAAGTACATAATCTACATACAAGTACATATATAATATAACACATTATCAACTTGATCAATTAGTATTCATTGCAACATAAATCAACTGACGAATGACATGAAACGGTAAGAAAACTAGACACCTCAGAATGATTTGATGTTATATCATGAAGCCTCTTGACATGAGAAATCAAGTCAAAGCTCAATAGAAAGGACTGAATACTTTACATTAATACAAAGTTAACATATGATGGGTGGAATAGGCACTATTCAGTCAGCAAAAACATTGAAATTACGACTTTGATAAATTAATTTCCAGTATACAAAGCCTGCTTCCCCTCACGAATGAAAAAGAGTAGGTTACTACCCCCTATTTGTACAGAAAATAATCTGAAGCCTAATACAACAAATAAAAAAACAGCAGTCTTGTCTCATTTTGCAGTTGTTACTTTTTGACAGTATAAAGTCTTACCTTTCTTGAATAGCCATCTATTCCTCCAAAGATAACAAAGTTGTATCTAAGTTTAAACAAATGAGAAAGAAAAAAGTAACTCCCAAACACAATACAAAACATCCATAGAAGCATAGATCTCACATAGAATATTTAAGTGGATGAAAGCAAAACCAAATGTTCATGCTACATTATGCTATGTTTTGTCAATGGTCATTTTTAAATATTATTAAAAAAAACACAAGATATATAAAACTAGAAATGAAAAATAATATAATGAACACTTCACATACAGATAGCATGCAAACACACCTGATTAGCTTGTGATTGGTGTCGATGTGCACCATGTACTTAGGGTAAGGAACTGTGTATGTTCTCCTCACCACACATCCCATCCGGGTCATCCTGGAGAGCACACCAACACTGTCCACACGATGCATGGATACATACTAGTGGTGCACGATAATTATCGGCCCGATAATTATCGGTCCGATATTAGGAATTATGACGTCATCCCGATAAACCCGATACCAGTATTAATAGCCCCGATAATATACAATATATTTTTTGGGTAAAAAAAAAGAAAAAAATACTGTGGTGTGGGTGGATTGGGATGAGGGGCGCTTGTTTTTCACTCGGCTCCTCCCGTTTTGCCAGTACTGTGGTATAGTGGTTTAGGAAGAGAGGAGTTTTTCACAAATCCAGCGCTCCCTAACTCATGCCTGGCTGTGACGTAAATGGTGTGCGGCCGTGAAACCAGGACAGTAAACAAACATGTCGCCGGTAGTATGGGACTATTTCAAAGTTTCAGAGTTAGATAGTTCGCTTGCTATTTGTATTAACAAATGCAATGCAGAAGTTCCACGAGGAGGGAAAAAGGCAACGAGCTATAATACTTCCAACCTGATTAGTCACCTGAAACATCGCCATCGCTACGATGGTGTGTTAAAAGCGTACGAAGACGCCTGCGCTGCTAAACTAGCGGCGAATCCAAAGCCAGCTGCAAAGGCACCGGGGCTTTTAGCTATCGACGAGGCTTTTGAAAAAGGCAAGAAGTTTTGCCAGATTTGTTTGGGAAAATAAATATGGTCACTTTGAAGAATCAAAACTGTTCTTGGCTTTGTTTTGTTCATAGTAGTAATGCTCATGTTATTTGCTCACTACTAGTCTTTTTTTTACCACCAGGTGTGCAAAAACTACAGGTACATTTAATATATATATATATTATATTATAATCGGTTATCGGTATCGGTCTTGAGAAGCAGGAAGTTATTGGTATCGGTTTCAAAAAACCAATATTGTGCATCCCTAATGCATACACTCAGTCCCATTGCACTCTGTGTCCCTTTGCAAGTAGAGCACCTCGGACTATACTGTAGCCAGCATCTGGCATGGTGCTTTTAATGTTTGTGATCAATAAATCGAATTCATCGACACTGCAGCCACTATATGAAGCTGATATAGATACATTATTTTCGGCCATCCGCCTAAATAGTGTTGCTCTAGACACACCCAGAAGTCTGGCAATGCAATGTGATGACAGTCCTAATTCTATAAGATTTGTCAGAGTCTCTACTGACAATGTAAATCGTGGACGCCCACGTCCAGAACCTCTTTGCAACTCCAGGGTTACAAATGTCTGTTCATTCTCTCTCTCCTGCTGGATGAGAGTATTAAGGTCTGCAAGTGCAGACAGAATGTTCTCTCCTACATCAACTATGTCGCCCAGAGCACTTAATAGAACACAATCCTGACGGCACGCAAACTCTAACCCTTCGATGTCTACAGGTGTCCTCTCCAAGATGTGTGTTAGTCGATCATGCAGTCGTTGAAAGATGTCACGCTTCAGTGATTCCTAGGGGATACATTAAGAGATTAGAGATGACAAACATTGATCTGAAAATTATTGTTTGTTAGCTGCTCCATAAATCACAAGTTCTGCATTTTTTTAAAAGGCCATTTTATTCACCCACTAGCTAAGGCTTAGATTGTAGATGGCTAAAACCATTGGCCATCTCATATAGTCATTAAAGCAGTCAACAGCTGGGTTATATAGAAGTAAACAGCTGACTTCACTGGTGGTGGAACACTGGTGGGCAACAGAAGGGCAGCGCCAACAGCAATACTGTTTGAAAATGGTCGGTAAACAAGCTACTACAAGATTATCTCTATAATTATCTCCAATCTGGTGCCCACCGCTACTTTGCTACCACAGTATTTACTGTGATTATAACGTTGATTTTGCCCACTAGTGTTCTGCGGGCCAACTAACGTTAGCTAAGTGACTTTATGATCCTACTCATCCTAGGTTGGTCATTAGCATTATTTAGCTTACTTGTTCGCACATGCTAGTATTAAATGCCACACATAATACATACATAGTAACAAAGCAACCATTCATAGCTTAAACATACTTAATCATGAACGGCAATATACTTCGACTTGAGGCGATAGACCCTGTCAAACAGTTATTTTCAATAACGTCAACTTCATTTAAAGATAATACTTGATAGCAGTACACCAATTTAGCATACAGAAACTTTAGACAGACTTAACAGCGCTAGCTAATGTTAGATTATTAGCTACATCACAATTAAACCTACTAAACAAGTTCCAAATATTGCTTCATAATTAAGCAAACGTAATATTGTATAGTTCGAGATTATTGCATGACTAACGACAAGATGTGAAAGTATTATACTTCACTTCCACTGTTAGCGGGAGCGCCACTTCCAGAAGCCATGTTGTTGGAGATGAACTCTGAACTTTCACTTTGTTCTCTTTCTCATTCATTTGACTTTGTTTTGTTCTAACACACATCCCACATCACATCACTTTTTCCATACACTGTTCTTAATACTTGTTCACACATTTGTTCGTCCCTTTTACTTTGTTCTTCCTGTTGTTCTTGTTCAAACACATATATCAATTGTTCATCCACTGTTGTGGTAAAATGATATTCATAGTCTTAACATGATCCTGCTACCCATGCTAACATGAACACAAACGTTTCCCTCCAAAAATGTAAAACGTATCTAAGTAATAGGCTACCAAGCTTTCCGTTGTCACCCTGCCTCTCCAAATGCAAAACTGTCAATAAAAACTATGCAATAATGCAATTACAGCTGAAAAAGTACTTGGGTGTGTGTGTTTTTTTTATATATATATATTTACCATTCAATAACGCAATCGCTGCTGTCTGTCTGTCCCATAGAAGAACATGACAGCGCAGCGCAACTATACTACGGACGTGACATCAACATAGCCTGCTTGTGCTACCACACTTTCCCCTCAAAATATCGTTAAATAACGAAACTTATAAATAGTGCCAATCCATACAAAGTGTAACCACATCATGTAAATATGAAAGCAATCTTTAAAAAATAACAGCGTTGGTTTAATCTGACTATTTTGACCATGTTTGTGCTGTTTTTGCCATAGAGAAGCATTGCAACGGAAGTGCGTTTTGAACTATCCCGGCATACATAAACCACGTGACCGGCTGGCGGCGACATCAAAGAGTGTCGTAACTCTTATCTCTCTAGGCTGCTTCTCAGGTCGATTAAATGAAATCCTTGCTTCCCTCACTTGCGTCGTTTCCCTGAGTTTAGTCCCTCCCACCAGGGAAGCATGGAGGGACGCAAGGAAACCACGAGAAGCAGGGAAATGAGTTTTAAGAGCAATGGGACGTCCTTTCCTCCGGAGCGTCACGTGAAGCGACGTCCGTTTGTGATGACGCTGCACAGCTGTTCGTCTGGCAGCAGCCAGCTCTGTACCCGTTATTTCCACAAACACCCCCGCCTCTGTTAGTGCACATTTACTGACACAAACATTAGTATCATCTGTTGTAGATCCAAATACATGAAATAAAATAAGAAGTCATTCTCAAAAAAGATAAACGCCATTCTTAAAATGTATAAATGAAAAAAGCGATCATGAAAATGTTTCCAATAAATGAATAAAAAAATGTTTGACCACTTTGTTGTTCAGATATATCACATATTTGTAACTAAATGATACATGAATTGAAACAAAACACAGTATAAACTGAGGAGTGAGTCCCGTGAGGTTCATGTATTTTCTTCACTCCGCTGGGGTATTGCTCTCATGTCAAGAAGCATCAGATCAGTGCATGCACTGCTTCGTCCAATCAGTGAGCGATACACAGTAAGGGGGCGGGGTGAGTATCTGAGGATTTCATCGGAGGATGGTCTGGTGGTTCCTCGGTTATCGCTCCTCCATGATCGCTCCTCGCTCCTCGATCATCGGTCCTCCGGCAGAAATAAGAGTCATGGGACGGTGTCAGTACCAGATATGTTCGGGCTACCAGATATGTTCGGGTGTATTTCCGTCGCATCCGTCATCCCCGTCATATACTCACCTCCCTCTGCTCCCAGCGCTCTGCTGCCACACACCGGCCGTCTGCGGAACTGCAGCCGGAGGAACTCGGGACAGCTTGTTATGTGTGGGGTGCTATGGTGGGGTCCCATGTACTTGTGCACATAAATAATGTTTCTAATTATTTACAATTAAAAAATATATATATTGTGCGTTACTTTAGCCAACACTTTTATAAGGCCACTAGATTAGATAATTACGAAATGTGTAGATAGAATACATATATTTCAGGTTGTTATTTTGTCATTATGTTTAATGTTGTATTTACCTTTTAGTATTTTTATATAGTATCTGAACTTTGGAGAGGAGTTGGGAGACACACGACACATCAAATCACATATACAGATCAAGGCGAAGCGAATGGAAGTACTCCCATACTCCTAGCGTTAAAATGTTTGTGAAAACGTGTGCAAAGTCTCCGAAAATCCTAAAAATAAGCTCATATTTGAATTCCCCATAAAAAAACACATCATTCAGTAAAAACAAGGCCCCACTGATCATCTACTCTCTGAGACGATTCCAGGGATGTCTGGCTTGAGTTTCGACCACCAGGGAAAGTGGACAAAAGTGCCCGAGATCAGCCTCTTAATTTACCCAGGGCCTAGTGCTTAGCTTTGGGCGTGAAAATTCAGGAAACTCAGGAGTATTTTATGAAATATCTGAACTTTGGAGAGGAGTTGGGGGACACACGACACATCAAATCACATCTACAGATCAAGACGAAGCTAGTGGAAGTACTCATAGCGTGTGAAAATGTTTGTGAAAAACGTGTGCAAAGTCTCCGAAAACGGAGCAGTGGCTGTGATGCTAGCTTTGCGGCTAGCGGTTAGTTGTTATTGTTTGAAGTTGTTGCTATGGAAACAACATGACGGAGAAAAAATGTATATCTTCTACATATAATAACGGACAAAGTAAAGAATGAAGTGTAGGCTATGCCTGTTTGAAGTT